GCTCTTTTTAAGAAGTTTTACTTCTATCACGTGTACGATGTTGCACTGGTGCTACTAAAGTAATGCTTTTTTCGCAAGTAGTTTTGCTCAGTGGCAATTTATCACAGCGCACGGCAGTGCGCGCGAGTGACGAAAGCAGCCACAGTAGCATGCTGAAATGACTCGCTTATATATACACGAGATTTGGAAGTTTTTATCCAGACGTCCAATCGACATGTTTGAGGTATCGTTGGAATGGTCTTGCAGAGTGTGTCCAGAAAATGTATTCAAGCTTCATAAACGATTAACCGGATTCTTAAAATTTTGGCTAAAGTGTTGCGAATCAAAAAAGTTTTTTTGCTTTTGCCGGTTTATGGGGGCATGTGGGTACACTAGTGCGGATCGGTCCCCATACAAAAAAAAAAGTTTTTCCAGTCCACCCCTAGGATTAAAGATATTTTGAAGGCGATCCCAAAAAATTTTTTTTTTTTTTGCCACGCCCCCCCGATGGGCTATTTACTTTTTTTGACACTACGTCGCCATTTTAAGTCCGATTTTAATGAGCCGTACACCGTTGTTCATGGCTTGGAAGCCGCCACAATTCTTACCTTAATCATTTTTTACTCCGAGTTCAAATTCTAGTAGTGACTGTCGGTATCTCGTTTCACATCATACCTAAATTCCAATTTTTTTTAGTCTGTCGAAAAGGCCTTTAAATTCTGTGAAACTTTAATTGATTAAATGATTAAGGTAAGAATTGTGGCGGCTTCCAAGCCATGAACAACGGTGTACGGCTCATTAAAATCGGACTTAAAATGGCGACGTAGTGTCAAAAAAAGTAAATAGCCCATCGGGGGGGCGTGGCAAAAAAAAAAAATTTTTTTTTGCGATCGCCTTCAAAATATCTTTAATCCTAGGGGTGGACTGGAAAAACTTTTTATGTCGATCCACCCTAGGGTACACCCAACATATTTAGTGTTATTCTATAGGCCAATACCTTTCAAACGATACCTTATATATTAAGTTCCGGCTACAAGTTGGAAAGATATAGAGGTAAATGTGTTTTGGTTTGTGTCTCCACTACGAGATGCTTTGGTATGTATGTGCCGTCTGTACGTACCTTCATTTAATTTTGTTCAAACTTTCAGGAATTAAAGTACCAAAAAAACTAGGAAGGTTTTGTTCCAGGATGTGTCGATTCGTAGGCCTTTGTGGGTGTGGCTGCTGCCTGAAATTCGAAAAAAGGCAATTTTTTAATGAGGCGGCACTACTCAATCCATGTCATTGTTGTGGATATCAATCAAGCTATCTATCGCTATCTTTTGTGTTTATAAAATATAAATATATCATAACGTTATCGCCTGAAAACTAAAAATCGGGCTGCTGAAAATATACATTTCAGGCATATTCACAAAAACTGGTTAGTCAATTTTATTCTAAGTTTCCAAAAATCTAGCCCAAAACCATAGCTTTCATCTGGTATGTATATAGCTCATATCTGGGAAAACTCTTGTTGTGGAGATATTGCGATTCAAATTGAAAAAATGTCGCTCCAAAAAGGGTCAAATGGTTAAAAATTAACATATTCGTCTAATTTGGTTACTTTAAGGTATAAAAATAACATACCCAGTTCCCCGAAAAAATTGCCCATGCACCGATTGCCACGTAAACCGAAATTCCCTGCAAATAAGGGAATTTCCCGCGAGTTGACAAGTTGAAGGATGCAGCTGTGCTAATCACTTAGTACATGTCGTGGAAACTACAATTTGTGTGTATTTTAAAGTTTTTTTCCAGTCACATGTCGAAATGGTAATATTTTTCACCATTTTAATTGTGGTTATGTACACAGAATTTACCTATGCTACATGGGTTTATCATCCGCACTTAACCTACCTGGGAAGACGCATACCATATTACCTACAGTTGTACATAAATATGTATGTATGAATGCATTTAGTTCCCCCAATGTGCCGCTACTACTTACATCAAATGTACAAATTGCCACTGAGCAAAACTACTTGAGAAAAAATCATTAGTTTAATAGCACGAGTGCAACACCGTACACGTGATAGAAGTAAAACTTAAAAAAAAGCACATGTGTGCGCCCCACACCCGGTAGAAATCTTTACAACAATTAAACTACTAGGCAATCAGACGAATACAGTTGCTTATTGTATCCAAAGTTAGTACCAAGTTGATACGTTTTTATCATTTCTCATAGTTTTTTTTTAATTTTTTCGAATACAAAGGATATGATCATTCTTCGATCATTATTCGAAAATTTATGTGTTTCAATGGACACATCGATTTGAATACATAATTTGGATTTAGATAACATTTTATTTAGAAAAATAAATCATTTAGATTATTGTTTGTATTTTGGTCGATTTAAAATTTGCTACCCCAAAGTAATTGGTATCAAATAAAACACCTCTTTGAGGTAAAATTTTTGAGTGACGAAAGCTGAGCTAGAAACACAAAATTTATGATATCAATTTCGTGACGAGAATTATACGAATTTTTTAACTGCTTTGGAAACGTACGGAAAATCATTTTTTATTTATTCGGAACGTTGCGAAATTCCGTCTACTGCTAGAAACACAAAATAAAAAACAGAACTTTTGCAACGATTCGTATGAATAAAAAAGATTTTCCGTACGTTTCCAAGGCAGTTAAAAAATGGGTATAATTCTCGTCACGAAATTGATAACATAAATTTTGTGTTTATAGCTCAGCTTTCGGCACTCGAAAATTTTACCTCAAAGAGGTGTTTTATTTGATACATATGTAAGTAAGTAGTAGCGGCACATTGGCTGAACTAAATGCATTCATACATACATATTTATGTACAACTATAGGTAATATTGTACGCGTCTTCCCAGGTAGGTTAAGGGTGACAGGTAATAAGGTCAATGGAAATAAGGTCAATTGACTTTATTTCCCACCCTCGCGCGAAATAAAGTCAATTGACATTATTACCTTTTCAAAAGCGAAATAAAGTCAACAAAAATTTGGAAATAAAGTCATTGACGCTATTTCCTCATTCAAATGGAAAAAGCGTCAACAATGCTTAAAGTATGTCGATTCATAGAAAAATGTGTTGTTCTTACAATAAACATTGCCCCGTAAGTGTTGTTTTTTAATAGATGAAAAAGGTTATTGCCAAATCCTCAGTGTTGTGATATTAATCCACACACAATCATGAACTACCACCAATTGATTTTATTAAAAAACTATGCGATGCGAAAAACTAAACGCCTGCGCACAGCTGGAATACGAGAAATATTTGAAGAAAGAGTGTAGAAATGATCCATAACTTGCAAAACATGTTTCGTTTCCACAAAAATAAAGCGAACCCTATTAAATAGAAGTAACAGTCCATGTCCAAAAACCCCGGAGGAACACTGAAAGAATTCTGTGTTTTAAATTAGCATATTTTGAACGAATTCGGAATTTCTAAGGTGGAAAAGAAAGCTACCTTCCTATAAGGGAACAATTATAGAAAAAGAATTGTCTTACACTGTATTCATGTCTCCGCCAGCAATTTGTGACGACATCATTTAAAAGCATCTAAGGAGAACGACGACACTATTTATTAGATGGCACATTCAACGAGCCAATGTGCCAAAATTCGGGTATAAACAATTAAATTTAATATCGGAACCGAGATCATGTAAGTAAATTGATTGGTCTTCACACACTTTTGAAACACAAATTATATGATTTTTTACTGCAGACAAGTTGTTGCCCCAAAACACAGCAGAAATTTTGCAATCAAGGCTGCCAACTGTAAAGATTGGAAGGAGTTTAGTATTGTCTTAGCTCTACAGCCGCATTTAGGTGAGCATTAAAATGCCCCACAATGATTCCAAAAGTAAAACGCAAGTAAAAACGTTGAGTCTTAAAGTGGGAATGTTTTATTCGGCTCATCGCCGTTCTTTTATATGCTTACAATCTACCTTATGAGTAATCTAATTTACAAACTTACATTTCTAAGTTGTTAGTCATGCTTATGATTCTACGTTGTTGTGCATGCATACATACATGTATATGGGTTCAATCGAGTTTATGTTATTGGAGAAGTGCAGCGCAAGCTAAATTGATTTGAGTACTTTGGCCTAGTTATTGCCAAAAGTATATTGAACTTTTTACTTAATATTGTGTGAACATTTTGTTTTGCTTAGCTGTCATGCTACACAACTATCCTTAGTCATGAGGTGCCATATTGAGGATAAAAAAGTGCCAAAGAGAAAAATAAAAGTCCCAAAAAAGGTGTCATTCCTTTAAATCATTCACATTTAGCAATAAAATAAAGCTACATTTTCCAAACAAAAGTGCAATGATAAAATAAGATAAACCAGTTGAATAGCCTTTATAAATTAGAAAATTTTAGTTGAGAAAAAAAAAGTGCACGCAAAGGATTTTACAAAAATGTATTGAAATGTTATTTTTTTTACGAAAGTGCCATTTTGACACTTTGTGCCACATTCAAAAATTAAGTGCCATTTTAAGTAAAATAGGGACAAATGGCACGGTTTGTGCCAAGTTGGCATCCCTGCTTCCAATAACTTACAAATATAAAAATTTGAAATATCGAAGGCTTGAATTCATTAAAACCCTCTATCCGCAATTTGCACAAAAACTAATTTGTGATTTTAGAAACCATCTGGGACTTATTACCTGTCGTTATATAAGGTAAAATTAATATCGCTGATGACAGTTAAAGCTTAGGTGGATTTTTATATCAGAGTCTCAAGTGAAAAGTGTGCAGATAGGGGGTATTATTGAATATAAGCCCTCGATCTTTAAAATATATAAAAAAATTTATTTCAACGTATACAAACAATAAATAAATCTACCCGCGTTACAGCACGGCGGGAGATGGAGAAGGGGGCCGGGGACCGCGGCGTAGCGTGACGTGGTGTGCGCGCCGGTCGCGGGCCGGCGCGCCGGTAACGCGGGCCGCCGCGAAGCTAAGCAAATTTAATGTTTGAAAGAGAAATAATGTCAATGGATTTTATTTCGTTTTTAAAAAGGTAATAATGTCAAGTGACTTTATTTCGCACCAGGGTGGGAAATAAAGTCAATTGACCTTATTTCCGTTGATCTTATTACCTGTCACCAGGTTAAGTGCTCTAAAATACACACAAATTGTGGTTTCCAAGACATTTACGAAGTGATTAGCACAGCTGCATCTTTCAACTTGTCAACTCGCGGAAAATTGCCCGATTTTCAGAGAATTGCGGTTTAAGTGGCAATCGGGGAATGGGCAATTTTTTTCGGGGAACTGGGTAAGTTATTTTTTTATCTTAGAATAACCAAATTAGACGGATATGTTAATTTTTAACCATTTGACCCTTTTTGGAGCGACATTTTTTCTATTTGAATTGCAATATCTCCACAACAGGAGTTTTCCCAGATATAAGCTGTATACCAGAGGAAAGCTAAGGTTTTGGGCTAGATTTGTGGAAACCTAGAATAAAATCGACTGACCAGTTTTTGAGAAAATTCCCGAATTGTATATTTTCAGCAGCCCGATTTTTAGTTTTCAGGCGATAACGTTATGATATATTTATATTTTATAAACACAAAAGACGGCGTTAGATAGCTTATTTGAAGACCCTTCTACTGATATCCACATCAATGACATGGACTGAGTAGTGTGGCCTTAGTGGTAGTTTAAAAAATTGCTTCCTTCGAATTTCAGGCAGCAGCCACGCCCACAAAGGCATACGAATCAAGACATCCTGGAACAAAACCTTCTCAGTTTTTTGTATTTTAATTTCTGAAAGTTTGAAAAAAAAATTAAATGAAGGTACGTACAGATGCCACATACATACCAAAGCATCTCGTAGTGGAGACACGAACCAAAACACATTTGCCTCTATATCTTTCCAACTAGTAGCCGGAACTTAATATATAAGGTATTGTTTGAAAGGTATTGGCCTATAGAATAACTCTAAGGGCCGGTTACTCAATGTCCGGTGAACAATAATCTGCGGTTAAACATCGTTATCGACGTCTTCGACTCCGTGCATACAACAGGGAGTCGGTAACGTCGATAACTATGTTTAAACGGAGATTAGTGTTAACCAGACATTGAGTAACCGGCCCTAAATATGTTGGGTGTATCCATATGCCCCCTTAAACCGCCAAAAGCAAAAAAACGTTTTTTGTTTCGCACCACTTTAGTCTAATTTTTAAGAATCCGGTTAATCGTTTATGAAGCTTGAAT